AACTTCTCCAATGTGGGTTCTTCCCACGGACTGCAGTTCTTCACGAACTGCTCCAGTGTGGGTCCTTTCCAAGGCGTGCAGTCCTTCAGGAGCACACTGCTCCAGCGTGGGTCCCCCACAGGGTCACAAGTCCTGCCAGAAAACCTGCTCTGTGGGCTCCTCTCTCCACAGATCTACAGGTCCTGCCAGGAGCCTGCTCTGGCGTGGGCTTCCCACGGGGTCACAGCCTCCTTTGGGCACCCACCTGCTCCGGTGTGGGGTCCTCCATGGGCTGCAGCTGGATACCTGCTCCACCATGGACCTCCATGGGCCGCAGGGGGACAGCCTGCCTCACCATGGTCTTCATCACAGGCTGCCGGGCAATCTCTGCTCCGGCGCCTGGAGCACCTCCGCCCCCTCCTTCTTCACTGACCTTGGTGTGTGCAGGGTTGTTTCTCTTACATGTTCTCACTCCTCTTTCCAGCTGCCGTTTCTGTGTGCCCTGCAACTTTTTTTCCTTCTTAGATAAGTTATCCCAGAGGCGCTACCACTATCACTGATTGGCTCAGCCTTGGCCAGCAGCAGGTCTGTCTTAGAGCCGGCTGGTATTGGCTCTGTTGAATATAGGGGAAGCTTCTAGCAGCTTCTCACAGAAGCCACCCCTGTAACATCCCCACTACCAAAACCTTGCCACCACAAACCCAATACAGTACCTTAACAGTGGTTCCTACCATGCAATGCTAGCTGTGACGTTGAAGAACGAGCTCTATCGAGACTGAGGCTGCGTCTGCTCTCCACCTCTGCAGAGAAGTTCACATAGGCTCCATTATTCTTTCGAGTGACGTCTTCAAAATGCCTGTCAAGGCCCCTCACATTCAGAGTGGTTGAGACAAAGATGTGAGCATTTCCGATATCTGTGGCCTTAAAAATAGAATGGTCAAATAAGAAAATACTTTAGAAAAAGGTTTGGTGCTTACGTGAAAGAGAACAGTACTTCATTCTGTTTCTAATAGAAAGAGTCACTAATCACAGTGGCACGTATTGTGGCACTGGCTCTACTTACCAGAAAGGCAATGGAAGTTTCTATTGCAAGGACCAGTAACAGCTTGGGGTATGGCATAAAAGGAAATAATTAAAAGGCGCATTGGACTATATAATAATAAACTCTAGTTTAATGGTTACTGGTTCAACAAGCATTAATATCCAGAACACAAAATCTTCCTACCTGAGTTTAAGGAGTAAATTTTCTGAATGGAACAGTTTGCAAAAGTTTACAAGAAGGGGGGGGGGGAAGAAAAGAGAGAAAGGCATCAAGGCCTTCAACCTAGGGGAAAAAAAAAAAAAAGTGGTTTATTTTGTAAGGTCACTATGCTCTGATAGACATTAACTTCAGTGAGACTTAGTAAGAACACAGCTGACCGTGACTTCTGAATCAAAGGTTTTCCAGTGTATTAAGAACGATGCTTTTTGTAATGTGAATTGCCAAGAAGATTCTCATGTCTCCTGTGTGAGCAGAAACTAACCTAAGCTGCAAGCGCTGATGAAAGCAAGCATTCTAGTGACAATAATGGGCATATTACCTATTTATCTATACATTCACTAGAAGAGAATGGGAGGTTGAAAGCATTTAGTCCACTCTCATCAGCACCAGCTGCTGTTGTGCCAGCCTTCATATCTCATGATGTCATTTAAAGCACAGCCATCCCTCACTGCTACCAAATTACAGGCTTTCAAACTTTACATACATAATTGTGGAGAGCTGTGCTACACCATGTGATGGCAATAATAGGCCATTTTTGGGGAGAGAGGATGGTTTTACTTCACTTGCTTCTCTGAGGTATAAGTGACAGTAGAGAGAATAGTTCTTTCTCACTCTGGTTTAGTCTATGCTAGGTTATATGGCTGTTTAGGTTGCATCTGCTGCCTTTCTATTCAGAATAGAAGGACTGGGTGGATGCTATCCTTGTGCATGCTACTAGTGTATGTACCATTGCTTAAGAACCCCACTGCTCATGCTTGTCTTTGACTTTATATAGGCATGTTTAAAGCTAATTAATTGGTCCGAGATGTTATTGTAAGCAACAGCGTTATTCTTGTCTAAATCCTTCAAACCTAGAAATGAAGTCTGGGTTACTTTGTGCTAAACTTTTTTTTTTTTTCCTTCGATCTGCGGAGGGTACTGCTGGGGACTATCAAAAGATCTGAGCATTGGCTTAACTCTTCGCCCACGGTGGCCTACAGAGTTTTAAGTATTGCCAGTTTTGATTGTAGCCTGGCTACGTAAAGCCTTTGTTCACTTTGGAATCAATCATTTGGTGACTGGACTCAGTAATGCAGACAATTTCTTGGAGTCGTATGTCTTCAAGCACTAGGCAAGGCCAAACCAGGTTCAGACAGGACCGTTCTGAACTGTCTTCTATCGGAGAATAGTGTGATTTTAAGCGAGCCCTAGCTCTTTCTCTGGAATCTCCAAAATCTGCAGATTGCTGTTCTTTTCAGCATCTGAAAAGTCTTGTGGAAGAACTACTTGCTGCCCGCAATGCTTTGAGCAGCAGAGCCTTCGGTACTGCAGGGCTCTTCTCTACGTCTCCAGCAGAGGACCTGCTTTCCAAAGGCAGCTTGGCCCACCGGCACGGACCAACGCTGCAAGGTCTTGCTGTTGCTTCCTTTTCTCTTACCCGACTCGGACGCGGTGACATTTTTCTTGAGTTGTACCCTGAATGCACGGAACATTTCCCACCGCTCCCACTGTTTATAAAAACGCTGTCCTGGAAAGTTCTTCCTGTAAAAGCTGCTCATTTCAACATATTGCAGAGTGCAAGTGCGCTCTAGAAATTCCCAAAGTGGTAGGATTAGTGGGAAAAATTGGGACAATAACCAGGACAAAAATTACTACGATGGTATCAGATGCAAACCAGCAGTTTAGATAGTGATATGGCAGGAGCATCGTAGAAATTCATGGCTGGGGAACTAACCACCCTCTACCCCCTTGCCACCACCCGCAACAACCGAGTATAGATGGAGAAGTTGGCTGTTTTCCATCAATAGTGAGTAACCCATTTTTCTGTGCTGATTGATTTGGCCTGTGCTGTTGCTGTCTTACTCAATTTTTTTTCATGCTATTGCTGGCAGGAAAGTCTTCTCTACTAACAACAAGTTTGTCTAGTCTTGGCGTTAAGCTTAATATTGAATGACAATTTAATACTTCCTCTTCCAAGTCTTGCTGACCTGTAGTTTTGCGGCAGATAATTTCTCATGTGTGTATATGAAAATATTTTAATCACCCAGCTTTTAAAAATGAGACTGAGAGGAATCATTAGTTTAGCACAAAAAAAGCGCAACATTTTTTTTCTATTACTAGGAGCCTCCATACTGAGCTCAACTGTTGCTTGTGAGAAAATGGAAGTTCAGCGCACAAATGATTCCATATTTGCAAGCTGTCAATATACTTTCTCATGAAATGTGAAGCAGTAGTGAGTTTATTCTTCCTTCAGCTTTTTCAGCAACACAGGAAAACAGAATTAACTTGCTTTCCTTTTTGGAATAACTTTCTATCGACTGAAATTCTTCACTGAATAAAAAGAGGGTTATCCTGAACTGAACTAGGACTGAATAAAGTATCTAACAGGTTGTGTTATGTGTATCTTTTCATAACTTTAAATCACACTTCCTTATACTTCCTAACAATTTATGAGATTCAGTTCTGCTTTTGACTTTGAAAGATTTCCTGCACATGTATTTTCATTATTAGTTCTAATTACCTTAAATTCCTGCTGTAGTAGGAAGTAAGATTTTAAAATCTATGGAAATCTTTTATTATCACTCTTCCAGACCGCCATACATCTCAAAATACAAAGCATTCAAAGTAGGAGCGAGATTGCAGACTGCACAAACAGCTGTCTTCTGAATTATCTCACAGTAAGTAAAATCCCGCTGATATTACACAAACACCGACACTACTAGGAGGGTGGAAAGAAGATAAAATTACTGTACTAATATTAACAGCAGAGTTTCCTCTAACCACAGATTTTTTTAATCTCATCTTGTATAGCGGGAAGCAGTAGAGAAGTTTGACAATGATTCTTGTCTTGAGTACTTGTTCAAATCACTTGGTTCTGGTTAGCCAAGGGGAACGTTTCTCAGCTGCGCGCTGGCCGCCTTGGTGGCACGAGTGGAGGCAGCGTCCACACTGAGGTGACGTGGCGTGGCTTCGCTACCCTCCCTGGAAAGGGCCACTCATGTCAAGTGGCAACTTAAGCGCTTTGCAGGCCTACAGCCCCCCTCGCTGGGGAAAACGGGTGTTTTTTTTTTCCCCCCCCACATTCTCAAACTAAAATACAAGCAACCTTGCAGCAGCAGCAGCGCTCTCGGCACTAACCGCTGTAGGCTCGAGAGCCGTGCTCCGGGGATGCCCGTGTGCTTACGCTGCCGGCCTAACAGGTGCTTTCCAGCATCCCCGCCGCGCCACGCGGCTTCCTTCAAGCCCCGGCCCCCACGCTCAGCGCTGGCGGGGTCCGGAGGGGCGCCGGGGGTCTGCCGGCAGGGCCGCGGCCTGCACGCGCTCAG